GTATTCTTTTTTTTCCTTCTCTAAGTGAAGCAACCTATATTTGTGTATTATAATGTTGAATTCTGTATTCCTTTTGAAAAAGAATAAAAATTGTTTTGGGGGGGGAAAGTGGCGTGGAGTGTGGAGGCTACCATAAAACCCGATACTCAAAGGAAGTGAAAGCAGCGTGCAGTGCAGAGGGACAATTTCCTTTCTGACGTGGGTTTCATAAAACAATGGAGGGAAAAGCCAATGCGGAATCAGCCATACATGACCTTGAGTCTGTACTAAATGGCAGGCTGGGAAAGTGGCCCTGTTCCGTCATCTTGTGATGGGCATACTGTGGAAGAGGTGGAATAGCAAGCTTTGAGCCGAGACGAGTCTTCACACTCGCCACGGAATTAAACCGGAATGGGATCTCCCATCTGGCCGTGCTCTGTGTACCTACCATAATGTATAATGAAAGGCAGGCAACTGAACCTCGGACATTGCTCTTCTCCTGGGGGGGGGGGGGGGGGGAAAAACACTTGCGATCCCAAAAACGCTTTCCAAAAATGGGACTTACTTCAGAGTAGACCTGCTTAAGACAGCTTTCGCCCTCCCACACCCACACCCTCCTCCTGCCCTCATCAATGGTACTTTCCGCACCAGACCTTAAATCCGGGTTCAACCATGTCCCCAAACGTACACTCTACACTACACTCGAGTTCACCCCTGTTATTATCTCGGGGAATTTTTTCATTTCCACATTACATAGGTCACCCCAGTTTCGCCCCACACTTGTCCCGGGATAAACGGATGCTTTTATAACCAGGGATAAATGCAAGTTATTGTGTCGCAAGTTGAACTCTGATAAAACCAGGGATGAGGTCCAAGTGCAGAAAGGACCAGTATGTTCAAATCCCTTCCAAGAGCCCTGAGCCCATTCCAGGAGCGCCCCCTCCCATCTCCCTGTTTCTGCTCTTACCACTAGACGCCGCTCTCCCCTTTGAGAACCAGGACAAGAACTTAGGATCACTGGATCCCCATTTTGTCATTTTATTCAATTTATCAAAACATTTATATCCTGCCTTTCCTTGTGGAACACGGCGGTTTGCAAATAACAGCTAAAATCAATTCCCATTAGCAGAGCTGTCACGGCTCAGGTGGGGGTGTCACCTGACGCTGCCACCACTCTGGATTTAGGTTCCCTTGAGAAGGCCCAGAGTACCCTCCCAAGACCTTTAGACCTCCCTTTAGGCCGAATAACAGGCAGACCAGGCAGAGTGAACCAAGGAAAAGGTTTATTTTATAGGAGGTCAAACAATAAGGTGCAGAATAATAACAGTAAGTGGGAGAAAAGAAAAGAAATCAAATGCCCTAACGCGTCTAAATATATACTGTCCCTAGCTCACTATTCCAAGTGACACTAGACTACTCAGCCCTCCCTAAGGATGAGGGTTTCTTCTCTGCAGCAGCCTTCCTTCTGGCTCTGCCCTCTTGGAAGAAAGAACAGCTTCTGTTCTGGCACCAGCCGTTTTTTCCCCCAGCCCTCTTCTTCCCTATTGGTCAATTTTGGCTCCAAAACCTCTCAGGGGCTTCTGGGAGTTGTAGGCCCAGCCTCACCTACTGCTAGCCAGGCTCCCTGGGCCTAGTAGGCCTCTGGTGGCACAGCCCAGATCATGACAAGAGCAATGCCCCAAATCTCTCCCTCTCTCTGCTTCCCTGCTCCCAGGGCTACATCTGGAGCGCAGGGATTTTGACAAGCAGCTGGGGTTGCCAGCTCTGGGTCTGGAAATACCTGGAGATTAGAGAGTGGAGGGTGGGGTTTAGGGAGGGCAGGGAACGCGATAGGGTTATAATACCGTACAGTTCACCGTCCAAAGCAGCCATTTTCTCCAGAAGCAGGGTTGCCAGGTCCTACTTGGCTGCCGGTGGGGGGGACGGGGGACCACCAATTCCTCCTGTAGTTCATCCGGAAGTGACGTCATCACATTTCTGATGCTGGGAGCGGCACTCTTAAGTTTTGGGCAAAACTGTATGGTTTTTTTGGGCCTCAAAACCATAGAGTTTTGCCCACGAGCTAGAGTGTCACCTCCGATGTTGGAAACATGATGACATCGCTCCCGGGTGACATCATCGCACTGGTGTTACCTCAATAGAGACCTCATGTACCTGGGTTCTAATTAGGAGACACAAGTGAGCCAGAAAACAAGATGATTTTGATTACAGCTTTATTGCCAGCAAAGCGGGAAAAACTAGCAAAGGGTTTTTCCGAAGAGCATGAAGTTACATCCGTGCTTAATACAAGCGGAGGTGTAATCCTTGTATGGTTATTTCCTAAAGATACGTGTCCTTAAGGATCTAGTCTTGTGACTTGACATTTCATCCATGCCAAGTTCCTATGCTTTCATGTTCAAAGATTTGTACGTGTTTCCCGATTTAGCGTCCCGATTTAGCGTCCCACCTAAGCACACCTGTGTTCCCTAGATATCAATCCTTTGAAGTATTTTTAATCCTATTGGGATGTTCCTCAGGTGCACATTAATTAGTATGCATAGTTAAGAGTCCGCTAGGCATAGCGGCTAATGGCCAAAGGCTTAATCAGTAACCTCTGGCTCTTTCAACAAATGTAAAATAACTTTGGCCAGAGCCTCTGTTCTTTTGGGGTCTTTGCTTTAAGCCTGTTAGGGGTCCTAGAACTAGCTAGGCCAAGATCCATCACTGGCGCCGTTGGCACTGGGAGGGGGCTTCCTGGGGGCAGGGCTTCCCACGATAGCCAGCTGGACCACAGTGGATTGGGGGGCCCCCCAAAAAAATCAGGGGCTCCCTTGGCCCCATCGGGGGAATGGCAACCTTATCCAGAAGTGGCATAAATGTGTTGGGGAAATAAATAATACATAAGCGATCTACGTAGTCTGGGTAATCAGTTGTCATCCTGGGAGATCTCCAGCCCCCACCTGGAGGTTGGCAAGCCGACATGCAGCCCAGTAGTGGGAAAGGTGCACACAGCCGCTATCTCTCTCCCCCCCCCCGACCCTTTCTGTGGTTCCTGGTTAGCTTGTGAGTGGCCCTAGGTAGAGCTGGCTGACTCACCGCATTGGGGGGGTGTTTGTGTGCAGGCATTCAGAGCTGTCCAGCTAGAACAGGTCCAGGGGGTGGGTGGTGGGTGGGAACCAGTGTTCCCTCTAAGCTGAGTTAGTGTGAGCTAGCTCGTGGTTTTTTAGCCTCCGGCTCACACGTTTTTGTCTTAGCTCAGGGAGGATGGCTCCAGAGCACACTGATTTAGGCTGTAGCCAAATCATCCGCTCACCACTTTAATGCCCGGCGTAGCTCACGAAGTAGAATTTTTGCTCACAAGACTTCATAGATTAGAGGGAACATTGGGAACCCACACAAAATCTTCTCTTGTCTCCCACGCGGAGAGAATTCTCCCTCCTTTCCCCTCTCTCCCCCCAACCTGGATGGCCCAGGCAAGCCCGATCGCCTCAGATCTCGGAAGATAAGCTAGGCAGGCCCCAGGTGGGACGTGGGTGGGAGACCGCCAAGGAATTCCAGGGAGGCCGAGGCAGGCGATGGCAAACCCTCTCCGAACATCTCTGGCCCTGAAACCCCTACGGGCTTGGCATACGTCGGCTGCGACTTGACGGTATTTTTCCACACACGGCGCGCTTCAAAGTCTCTCCTTTGTGGGAGGGAGGTGTGGGAAGTCGGGATGCCAGCCTCCAGCTGGGGCCTGGGG